TTTATTTATTATATTTGCAAAACATAAACATACTAAAAATTATTTTCACACAAATTTAAAAGGATATTCCTTAGTTTCGAAAGACGAAAGTTGAATTTAGGGATAAGAATATACTTAGAAGCACATTGACTGGTATCATAATTTTTGCATGGATGACATTATTGTCAAAACTTCTATATACCACCTATGTGTTATTACACAAACTATTTGGCATATCTAAGTTTTTCAGTAGCATGAGAGACATATTTTTCTTCAAAATCAACCTATATACAATGGAAAATCAATTTTAATTTAGTCTGTTATACATACGGTGACACTAACATATGTAAGAAATAATAAACTTGACAATGAACATGTATGGTGGAAGGCCATTTTGTATTAAAATATTTAAGTATTCTTGTTGATAGTAATTATTGGTATCATTTTTTGCTGAGTCAAAAACAAAAAAAAACATTTTGTTTTTACTATAAAATTTTGCAATAAACCTTTCATTTAGTTGATCAACATATTCATTTCTGCTAGCTAAGATATTTTTTTAATTCTATCATGCGATTTGCACAAATAGCGTTTTAATCTAATGATAGAAATATTTCTCTTATTAAATGCACTAATATTACCCTTAGGATTGATAACCAAGTGTTCAGAAAGAACCAAATCATCTTTTATTGGATACTCTTCTTTGTTTCTGACACGAAGCAAGAAGGCACTGAATACTGGATATGTTCATACTTTATGTTTCTTGTCAGTTGAATCTTTTTTATTTGAGGCCAGAAGTATAACTTTGGTAAGTTAGCTTTTACAGTCTTTGCTTTTGCCAATTTCGGAACTACTGGTAGTACTTGACATAAATTACCTCCCAAACTATTAATTTTTCACCAAACGGTTCAGCAATATCCAATATATCTCTAGAACTCCAAGCAATTATTTCGATCGTTTGACATTTAGCGATAAGTGCTTTATCCCATATTATCATTTTTGCTTTTCTTATAAATTTAGCACCATTGCTCTGCTTTGATATATTTGTGATGGTTATTTAAGTTGTTTGAAGAGGTATATCAAATCTAAAGTGGTTGGCCTCACAATAAAAAATCGTTGTTGGTACACCACTTGCTATTATTGCTAACATTGTCATGCCTCTCGATATGATATTTGCAGGTAATACATGATATAGAAATATTATATATTTCGATTCTGCCGGAGGCATCTACAAAGAATAATACTGTTATAGTAGAGTCGAATCTTTATATTATAGTCTTGAAAGGCATCTACAAAGAATAATACTGTTATAGTAGAGTCGAATCTTTATATTATAGTCTTGAAAGGCATCTACAAAGAATAATACTGTTATAGTAGAGTCGAATCTTTATATTATAGTCTTGAAAGGCATCTACAAAGAATAATACTGTTATAGTAGAGTCGAATCTTTATATTATAGTCTTGAAAGTTTGTTCTTGTTTAGGATTTAGCTTTGATTGTGCTTCCTCAAACACTTGTATATCATTTTGATTCTTAATAATATACTAACCTTTTTACTTTGTATTCTAACGCTCTTTCTATGGATAAATTTATGTATCCTAAGATTTTTTTTAACTTGAATAAGAATTTTTTCATATGATTAATTTAAAAAATAATTGAATTGAATTCTCTTGCCAAATAGTTAATTAAAGAATTTAATTATTCGATTTTAACATTAAAAAATAATTTATTCTATGTTGATTCAGATCTTAATATTAGTTCAGCTCTTGTTTTGAATATTTAATCTTAATTATTATCCACCATAAATTTTATTTTCAAATAGTAAAAGATTAATATGACATTTCACTTTTAGATTCTGCAGAATCATTAGTGGTATTGATTCTTACCAACCATTTTTTTCTCTTTCTCACACATTTATATTCATAAATATTTTCTTAGTTGTTGTTTAATAATTGAGTATTTTTTTAATATTGCACAAAAAATTGATTACAAAAATATTATTTGAGTAGAAAAATATATTATCGTGGGAGTATTTTTTTTGTCTCAATTTCAACTCTTTATGCAGTCCATTTAATATTACTTTTATTTTTTCTTGGTATTAGACATTATGGAGTGGTAATGTACTGCCAATATGGAGGATTCTTATAAAATTGATTTTATTAAACCTTCCTACATCTTTTTAATAAGAATTTAATAGATAAAATTTTATTAATTTTAAAAACTTAAATATTAAAAATTAGCATAGAAGGTATTATAGTCCAAAAAATAGGTTATTGCAGTTATGCCCTTTCCCTATGAGTTCTTCCGTTTAGTATTTTAGGGCTATTTTGGTTAATATTGTATTTATGATTAAATATAATATAGGCTCTCCTTTTTCTAAATGAATTTTGACAATGTAATAAATTCTAAAGTTAAATTAGTAATAGGACATTATAATACATTTTCAAATTAAATTAGTAATAGAACATTATAATACGTTTTCAAATTAAATTAGTAATAGGAATTTTTAAGAATTATATCCTAAAAGTAATAGGATTACATGACTAAAGATATTTACTTGTTCAATTTTATACGAATTAAAAACCTCGAAAGTAATTATACTAATAGGATTCCTAAGGTAATCATGTAAGATTCCTAACATGTAGTATTATGTTCTAAAACTAATAGGATTACAAGGCTAATATGTAGAATTTTGGTTATGTCCTTTTGTTGCGACTTATTATGCTTAATATAAAAAGGTTATTTTTTAACCCGACATTTTATTCATGCTTTTATAACAATATAAATAGATAGATAGATAATTAAAAATATATTAATTATACCTTAGTCTTAAATAAAGTTATGTATAGGTTGAAATCTGGCCAGACGAGAATCCGCGTGAAGAGGAATGACAAAAAAGTCACTTGGGCCGAAGTCTTATCCATATAATGCTATAACGACATGCACCTCGGGCACGACCGAGGTCGTGTATTCAAAATGCTTGAACAACGAATGGGATGTTACGACATTTCAGAGGGTCAACCAGTAATACAGTCAAATGGCTGAGGTACGGTGGCTAACGGCGAAGCTAAACATGAGGTTATCAAACCTGAAGCCATCATTCGAGTACGGGACAAAATGAGTCGTTCTACAGCGCCCTCCCCCTCGCCAACCAATCAGGTCAAGGTAACAGACGATTTGCGGGTTTAACTTGTTATTTTTCTTTTTTTGGATTGGGATAGTAACATGAGCATTCTCCCAGGTGCGCGAACAAGGAACAAACGCCACCAAACAACACACCAGGAAAATGTTCCGCACCATATCATCCCGCAGGCGACGCTCGAGCAAAACCCCCCACACCGTACCATACTGTAAATAATAGAACAAGCCAGCATTATTAAGAAACAATCTCCACAACCTGGGACTGGGCGGTGAGCCCATGGAACGTACAATCTCTCCAACACAGGCAGAACATGAACACGAAGAGCTTACATGTATGCTCGCCATGACAATCCTATGCCGATTCGGCCGACTAAGTATTACGAATCACGTCCAAACTTCATTCGAATTAATCAAGTCCCAGGGTGCCCAGAAGCTCAGGCAATAAGTTCATCGCCCGTACCATCCACGGTCCCTCCAGGCCGAACAATGAAGGGACTAGATAGACTGGGACTCCACCAACGCACACATAAACTATGCAACAATGCATGATATTCTCCAATGAAGCAAGATTAGATAAACGGGGACTCACCCCGACACATGCATAAATTATGCAACAATGAGTAATATTCTCCAATAAAAGCAAGACCACATGCAACATTCTTACCACTCCATCGATCCCGGCCATCGCCAAGCGAAAGTAAAATTTGACCTCGTTAGAATTAACAAATCAACGTTCGACCTTGCTCGAACTCATCACGGGTCACAATTAGACATCGCTCGAATTCACACCCATGCGGACCCCGACCATCAGCAAGAGAAAGTAAAATTTCACCTCATTCGAATTAATAAATCAATGTTCGACCTCGCTCGAACTCATCACGGGTCACAATTCAACCTCGCTCGAATTCACACCCATGCGGCCCCCGACCATCGCCAAGCATAAAATTTGACCTTGTTTGAATTAACCAATCAATGTTTGACCTCTCTCGAACTCATCACGGGTCATAATTCGACCTCTCTCCAACTCATCATGGGTCACAATTTGACCTTATTCTAATTCACACCCATGCGGCCCCGGCCTTCGCCAAATGAAAGTAAAATTCGACCTCGTTCGAATTAACAAATCAACGTTCGACCTCGCTAGAACTCATCACATGTCACAATTCGACCTCATTCGAATTCACACCCATGCGGCCCCTAGCCATCGCCAAGCAAATGTAAAATTCGACCTCGTTCGAATTAACAAATCTACATTTGACCTCGCTCGAACTCATCACGAGTTATAATCCAACCTCGTTCGAATTCACACCCATGTGGCCTAGGGCCATCGCCAAGAGAAAGTAAAATTCGACCTTGTCCGAATTAATAAGACAAAATTCAACCTCGCTCGAATTGACAAGTCAACAGTGACCTCGCTCAAACTGACAAGACAAACTTGCTCGAAATAACAAGTCAAAAATGGCTTCGCTCAAAACTAGTATGACAAAATCCGACCTTGATCGAATTAACAAATCCAAATTGACTTCACTCAAATTTGCAAGACGAAATTCGACCCCGCTCAGGCTAATGATAACTAGGGATTCTAGCCTATTTTATGCTCCTTTTTGCTTAGGTTTTGGATTAAAAGTGTGTACAAGTATTCCCAAAAGCTAACTTATTGTGCTTGTTTGCTGTGTTTGGTCAAAAAGAGACAAGGAAGTCATAACTAGCTCAAAAAGGAGGGAAACCTGCACAAGTTAAAAGTTAAAATCAAAGGGCACTGATAGCGAGAAATAACAGCGGAGGCTGAGGGCTTACCGTTGAGGCAGTCCTAATACCGCTCTCAGCAGATTGAGGAATTAGAGAAGTATTTCTGAAGCATAATAAGTTACTGCTGCCCACAGTGAAATTGCACGGCAGTAGTGTCTCTGACGCGGCCGCGATCAAGTTCTCGCCCTCAGCGAAAGTGATATTCAGAGAACTAAGTTTGGAACTAAAATTGAAGACCGCAGTTCGCGCTCATATTTTGCGGCCGCAGTTGGAGGAGCGCTGAGGCGGTAGTTTTTTCGCTCCCAGCAGACTCAAGTTCAGAACCAGCTAAAAAGAAAAGAATCGTGGTCCGCACTTGCTTTTGCGTGGCCGCAGAAGTCCAAGCGTTGAGGCGACACATTTTTCGCTATCAGCAGAACCTCTGTCGGGGCAATTTTGTCCGAAAAATTTAGCTGTGTATAAATAGTTCTTTTTCAGATTTTTATGGCATCTATTATTTTGGGAGAGCATGTGAACAACCGTTTTTAGATTTTTTGAGTAATTTTAGAACATCTTTAGTAATTAATCTTAGATTTTAATCTTGTAATTACTTTCTATGGCTTATATTTGATCTCCACCTTTGATTTTTTTTTTGATTATGAGTAGCTAAACCCATTAGCTAGGGTTGTGACCCAACCCTAGTATGGGTATTTAATAGCTCTTCAATTTTAGGGCTTAAATATTTATGGGTTAATGATATTTAGCTTGATTTATGCTTGAATTGTTGAATTGGTGGTTGAAAACACTGATTTGTGCCTTTTTGACTTAGGCTCTTCTTGAGAAAGAGAGACTAGGTCTAGAAAATTCAAGCTAACAAGGAATTATGGTGAATTCAAGAGATTGATAACCCCAATTAAAGGGTTAAACCTAGATATAGTAATACCCGACTTGAGCCAATTTTGCTTGCATTGTGTAAACACCCAATTGGGCTTGAGAAATCCAATTAAGGTAAAGTCACTCAAACTGCCGAGAGGTATAGAATGAGTAACTATGTGCAATGGTTATATCATGAACCCAATTACAACAAGTTTGCCCTAAGTTTAAGACCCTTTTAGATACCCACCTAGGTTTAAGTCACGTCCCTAGTGCCTTTTTACCAATTGAGAAAACCTTACAAAAATATCATACTTAGCTTACTTTCATTCTTCATTAGTGTTAAAAGTAGAACAGTGATCAAAAAACATGATTAGAAGTGCAATTAAGAACATCACACATAACTAGACTAGATAGAAACCCAGTTCCAAACCGATATTAGCTCTCTGTGGATTCGATCCCAACCTTTCGGGTAAAAGCTGCATCGACCACTCTTGCCATTCTATAATGGCATAGGGTTGGAGCCAATAACTTTGTGCCGCCATTTCCGGGGAGCTAAACGGTTTTGGCTATCTATCTGACTAGTTTTTGTGTATTGTTTTTCTTTCCTTCAATTTTACTAACTTGTGTGAGTAATCAATTCAGGTACAAAATGGCAAACAATGATACTCTTAGAAATATTCTCCCGGGGGAGGATGTAGATGATAATAGTGAAGATAAGGTGCCTTTAGTACCTCAAGGTCAAAGAAGAGGCCGCCAAGCTAATGACAACACTCCAGAACCTCCTCTGGCTCCTCCAAGAGTCACTCCTCGGGTGCTTCCAAATGAAGGATACGCAAGTGCAATTGTCCCACCCCGGATCCGGGCGGGAAATTTCTAGATTACAAATGTAATGTTGACATTATTAAAGCAGCGAGGGTACTTCACAGGCGCTCCCCATCAGAATGCATATAAACATCTTAAAGGCTTTTTGGATACCTGCTAGGGAAGCAAACAAACGAATTTGTCGGAGGATGCATTGAGATTGAGATTGTTCTCTTTTTCACTTAGAGAGAAAGCTTTGGACCGGCTCGAAAGGCTTCCCAACCATTCCATCACTATGTGGGATGAGTTGACGGACAAGTTTATAGCTAAGTTTTTCTTGCCGGGGCATATGGTGACATTGAGAGATGAGATTTTGGCCTTCAAACAGGAACCTAATGAAACATTTCATGAGATCTGGGAGAGACATAGGGCAATGGTGAAATAATGCCCGAACAATGACATGACCGAAGCAATAATCCAGCAAAAATTCCACCGTGGAATTAACATGACCAATCAGTGTGTAGTGAACTAGTTAGCAGGGGAAATTTTATGAATACACCTTATACTGAGGCGTGTGAGATCTTGGATGAGATGGCAGATACTTCCTCAGCTTGGCAAAGTCGAGCCAATGTGCCACAGGGTGATCCTACTGTCATTCACCTGCACAAAGAGCTCCACGACCATGGCCAAGCAATAACAGAGTTAACTACAACAATGAACCAGTTGGCAAAAGCTCAATTACAACAAGTTCAAGCGCAGAGGCAAGTAAATACTATGGAAGGTGTCAACATGTTGGTCAACAAGAGGCGACAAAGAGGTCAACAAGGTCAAGGTAGTCCGGATCAATATGAGTAGGGTAACGATGGTTTCAACCAAGATGATGGGTAGGATGATCAAAGTGAAGAAGTCCAGTATGTGAACAATTACCAAGGACAAAGGGGCAATTCTCCTAACCAACAACAACAATGGAGATCCCATAGAAGCTGGGGGAATCAAAACCAACAGGGAAATAGCAACTGGGGGAACAACAATCAGAATTGGGGCAATCAGAACTACTAGGGCAACTAGAGTGGCAACAACAACAATTGGGGAGGAAACAACAACTAAGGGGGTTGGAATAATGGCAATTAAGAGAATCGGGGGCAAGGCTTTCAAATACCTCTGATGTATCAACAACCAAACAACCCGCTTCCATTTCCGTCCCAAGGTCCTAGCTCGTCAAACAATGATATGGAAATGATAGAGATGATGTTTGAACAAATGATGAAAAAGAATGCCGACTCTGATGCCCAGTTGGCATCCCATAATACTTCAATCCGAAATTTGGAGGTTCAACTTGGCCATATTTTGTAATCTTTTAACACTCACCCTAATGGGTCTCTACCTAGTAATACGGTAGTAAACTCTAAGGGTGGGAACAATACCGGGCATGCAATGGTGGTGATCACTAGAAACGGTCGAGGTGGTGATGTGAATACCTCCAAGCAAAAGGAAGTTGTGAGTGATGAGGTTGAAGTGCAAGATGATGATGTTCCTATAGTTGATGAGCAAGTGAGTGAAGAGAATTTGAATGCGAAAGTGAGAATTGATATTCATGATAATGAGGTAGAGACTCAAGATGACGTGAACCCGTCTAGGGAATACGTAATAGACATACCAGAAACGGTAGTGCCCAAGGCTAAGGCACACATGCCAAGGCCTCCTCCACCTTACCCTTAAAGACTTGCAAGGCAAAAGAATGAAAACCAATTTAAAAAGTTTATTGAGATGATGAAAAGCTTGTCGATCAATGTTCCTTTGGTGAAAGCTCTTGAGCAAATTCCGGGTTATGCCAAGTTTATGAAAGACTTGGTGACTAAAAAGAGATTTATGTATTGTGAGACCATCAAAATTACTCATCAAGTAAGTGAAATTGTGCACTTGATGGCTCCAAAGCTTGAAGATCCCGACGCTTTCACTATTCCATGTACCATTGGGAGTGCGGATATTGCAAAGGTATTGTGTGATTTGGGAGCAAGTATCAATTTGATGCCTTACTTCTTGTTCAAAACTTTAGATATTGGTCAATCGAGAGCTACTTCAATGAGATTGCAAATGGCGGATAGAACAATGAAAAGGCTGCTTGGTATTATTGACGATGTTTTGGTTCGCGTGGACAAGTTTATTTGCCTGCTGACTTTATGATTCTGGACTGCAAAGTCGACTATAAGGTGACGATAATATTGGGAAGACCTTTCCTTGCAATAAGGAAGGCATTGGTTGATGTAGAAGCAGGGCAGCTCACATTCCGAGTGGGTGACGAAAAAGTTGTCTTTCATGTGTGCAAATCAATGAGGCAGCCGAATAGTACTGAAGTTTGCTCTTTGTGGATATTGTCACAGAGGTGATAGTTGATGATGCTAGTGACATGATCAATGTGGAGGATCCTTTAGAACCGGTATTGTTGAACCTTGATGTGAATGAGGATGAAGATAGGGTGGAGTGTATCAATGCATTGCATGGAATGGGTTTTTATTCTTATGAGCCCCATAAGCTTTCTTTGGATTTTGAGAATAGAAAGACTCCGCCAACAAAGCCCTCAATTGAGGAACCTCCCATTTTGGAGTTGAAGCCTTTGCCCTCACACCTCATGTATGAATCTTAGGCCCTAGTTCAACTTTACATGTTATTCTTTCGTCTTGTCTTACTAACGTGCAGGTAGATGCAACACTGGAGGTGCTCCAAAGAAGGAAGAAGGCAATTGGATGGACTCTAGTTGATCTTCGGGAATAAGTCCCGCCTTTTGCATGCACAAGATAATACTTGAAGATGATGCCAAGCGCTCTGTGGAACACCAAAAGGAAGTTGAACAAGGTTGTGCAAGAGGTTGTCAAAAAGGAGGTGATCAAGTGGTTAGATGCAGGGGTTGTGTACCCCATCTCGGATAGTTCTTGAACTTCGCCAGTGCGATATGTGCCGAAGAAGGGTGGTATGATTGTGGTTACCAATGAGGAAAATGAGTTGATTCCTACCAGGACTGTCACCAGATGGATGGTGTGCATGGACTACCGCAATCTGAATAAAGTGACCCGCAAAGATCATTTTCCATTGCCCTTTCTTGACCAAATGCTAGATAGACTTGCTAGGCGTGCCTTCTACTATTTTCTGGATGGGTACTCAGGTTACAACCAATTTTGATTGCTCCAGAAGATCAGGATAAAATCACCTTCACGTGTCCGTATGGCACCTTTGCATTTTCTAGGATGCCATTTGGTTTGTGTAATGCACCGACTACCTTCTAGTGGTGTATGATGGATATATTTACCGACATGGTGGAGGACTTCTTGGAAGTGTTCATGGATGATTTCAGTGTTGTGGGTGACTCTTTTGATGAGTGTTTAAAGAATCTTGACAAAGTGCTAGCCTAGTGCGAAGAGACAAATCTTGTGCTTAACTAGGGAAAATGCCACTTTATGGCCGAGGAGGGCATTGTCCTCGGCAATAAGATCTCAAATAACGGAATAAAGGCGGACAAGGCTAAGATTGAAGTGATTTCAAAGCTCCCTCCTCCTACTTCAGTCAAGGGGTTAGGAGTTTTCTTGGGCATGCGAGGTTCTACCGAAGATTCATCAAAGACTTTTCTAAGGT